TTTTTTTTTTTTTTTTTTTTTTTTTTTTTTTTTTTTTTTTTTTTTTTTTTTTTTTTTTTTTTTTTTTTTTTTTTTTTTTTTTTTTTTTTTTTTTTTTTTTTTTTTTTTTTTTTTTTTTTTTTTTTTTTTTTTTTTTTTTTTTTTTTTTTTTTTTTTTTTTTTTTTTTTTTTTTTTTTTTTTTTTTTTTTTTTTTTTTTTTTTTTTTTTTTTTTTTTTTTTTTTTTTTTTTTTTTTTTTTTTTTTTTTTTTTTTTTTTTTTTTTTTTTTTTTTTTTTTTTTTTTTTTTTTTTTTTTTTTTTTTTTTTTTTTTTTTTTTTTTTTTTTTTTTTTTTTTTTTTTTTTTTTTTTTTTTTTTTTTTTTTTTTTTTTTTTTTTTTTTTTTTTTTTTTTTTTTTTTTTTTTTTTTTTTTTTTTTTTTTTTTTTTTTTTTTTTTTTTTTTTTTTTTTTTTTTTTTTTTTTTTTTTTTTTTTTTTTTTTTTTTTTTTTTTTTTTTTTTTTTTTTTTTTTTTTTTTTTTTTTTTTTTTTTTTTTTTTTTTTTTTTTTTTTTTTTTTTTTTTTTTTTTTTTTTTTTTTTTTTTTTTTTTATTTCATTTAATCTGTTGCTGTAGATTTGTCCCATTCTTATACGTGTTCAATGAATGCATTTGTCTTATTTTGGGATCTTGTTAGCTAGATCGATCGATAGATAGATAGATAGATAGATAGATAGATAGATAGATAGATAGATAGATAGATAGATAGATAGATAGATAGATAGATAGATAGATAGATAGATAGATAGATAGATAGATAGATAGATAGATAGATAGATAGATAGATAGATAGATAGATAGATAGATCGATAGATAGATAGATAGATACGCATGTGTATTTATAAATACAACGCATTTTTTCACACACAAAAACTTGTTAATTTAAACACCATAGTAAATATCAAATAAATATATAATATGAAAGACATTTGTAATACAATTGTACAAGTGTAATCACAATTCAGTGCAAATTCATAACATTCATGTAAAATTCTTGATACACAAATGAATATTGCAAGAACAGTCTAATGAAAATATGATTTGAAAATATAATGATTCGAGTCTAGGAACCAAAGGGTAATTTTTAACATGATAATACATAGATACAGTGATGAAAGCACATTAAATCACCATAAATGAAGTTAATAGGAACATTCCGAAAACACGAATAAATAATCTAAAATTCAGATCACATCACATAAAGCATCGATAGGAGCCTATTAGCACGGTATATACATACAAAGTTCTCAGTTCCTTCCTTATACATGGTGACTGCAAAGACACCGTAGTAACTAACAGCATCGAAGACATATCACTAACACAGAACAACTACCCAACTTGTGTTTGGCAGACTCCTTACACATGCCAGGACACTTGTAGAACCATCAGGATGTGTTGAACCAATGGACTTTGATCAATCAGGGCGCAAAGAGGATCTTGGTGGTGCATGTGGCACACAACTTAGAATGCAGCGGTTCGTGGAGTTGGCTACGGAGATGGGTTTTCACAGGAGAATACGGACTAAGTTAAGATATTTCGCTTTTTTTTATTTTGTTTCATTTAATCTGTTGCTGTAGATTTGTCCCATTCTTATACGTGTTCAATGAATGCATTTGTCTTATTTTGGGATCTTGTTAGCTAGATTGCAGAGGTTCCGAAAGTGGGGAACGCAAAACGATTTTTAGGGGGTGGGGGGGGATTTCGGAGCTAACAAAAAGACGCAAAAAAGAAAGAAAAATATTTGTATGTATCTAACAAATTCGTTTATCTCATTTCAGAATCTTGTCAGCATGCAAGTTAGACTCCAGAGAATGCTAAAGTGAGATATAAAAAGGGTTATGGGACTAAAAAATTCAATTATCTCTGTTAAGGAACATATTGTGTTCGGAAGATTTAATAACGTTATTAGGCTCACAGCCCTGTGTCCTATGTCTAAAAGTCTAGCCAATATTTATAAGCTGTATGTGGTTGGTGATTTAAAACTTCAAGAAACACGTGAGTGACTAAAGTTTGGGAACCAATGAATTAGAGAAACGATTCTTGAAGAAAGATCAAAAACGCAAAATGCTGCGTCAGCCTATTATGGTCTGTGATTATGATCTATGTCTCCTTTGTACACAATGGCAAATGTATAATGGGCGTATATAGATGTATGCGTGCGTGTATGTGTGTGTGTGTGTGTGTGTGTGAGTGTGTGTGTGTGTGTGTGTGTGTGTGTGTGTGTGTGAGTTTGTGTGTGTGTGAGTGTGTGTGATATACATACATACGCACGCACGCACACACACACACACACACACACACACACACACACACATATATATATATATATATATATATATATATATATATATATATATATATATGTATGTATATATATGCATGCGGGTGTGCGTTTTTGTTTGTGTGTGTGATATATATATATATATATATATATATATATATATATATATATATATATATATATATTAGCAGTCCAAGGAGGAATGCCACTGAGCGCTAATAATGTTTGATTTGATGGACAGCTGCGAATGTAACTTTGTGTCGGTGGTCGTGTCGGGTTCTCGCTTGTCCTGCGATGCCTGAGTGGAATCCTCTGCTGATTCCGTCTTAAAGAACGAAATAATCGCCATTCGGAATTTCTTGTTCAGTAAGTACAAGTAGAGAATATGCATCAGTCCTTGGGCAATTTCGAATATGTTAGCGACCCCGCGGAAGACCTCGTCGGCCCAGTTGCCGTAGCACTTGTTCTCCAGGTCATGGAAATAGATGAGATACCATGATATCGGCGTGGAAAAGAAGATGTACGTGAAAGAGAAACAGAGCAGACTGATGATTGCCTTGTTTTCCTTTTCCCTGCGGTAGTCCGAGGTAAAGTTATTTTGGTTGTTCTTCGAGTAGAGTTTGATGGCTAGACCGAAGTTGAGCACCGCCAGAACGATCACGGGGAACCAGGTGAGGCTAATCTCATGAAGGGTCATGAAGATCCTCGTCCGGATGGATTCGTCCTCGTAGTGAACAGCATCGCGGATCTTGAATTGGGTGCAGTTGATCAGGTCGCCTTTTAAGCACAGGGCTTCGGCGCATATGAATTTCTGGAGATGCGAGAACACACAGAAACTAACGGTGGCAACCATCCTCTTCACAATAACGCCGTCCTTATATACCCGACTGAACAGAGGGATGTTCCACGCTGCCATGAACCGATCCAAAGAGATCCAGAGGAGGATGTACACGCTCAGCATCTGGTAGAAGGTTTCCAGTGACCATCCGAAGTGAGCGAAGTAGGAGGCGAAGCTGTAGCTCCAGAATACACACCCGTTCAGAGAAACAACAGACGGGATGATGCAGATTGTCATGCCGAAGTCAGACAGGATCATCAGAAGGAAGTACCTGTGATGTAAACAAAGGCATCATTAAGAAAGAAAAATGAGTGAGAATCCATAAAAATAAGTCACTATGTATTGAGTTATCATAAGTCACTATGTAATAAATAAACATTTATATATCTCGCGGTCAATGAACTGATCGATATTATTTTTCCCTTTGATAACACATTTACTTTTGTTATTATCATTTCATAGAGTCATGGCTCACCTGTTGACAGGATTCTTTTTCAGTTCTGGTTTATTTAGAATATATGCAGTTATAGCCTGAAGAGGGATGGATATTGTGATGATAACACTGTAGATAACGCGGTAGAAAATCCAGTGCAGATTGTACATTTTATCATCTTCATAGAAAGCCATTTTACCCCTGAAAAAAATAAAACGGTATAATTTATGTATATGTACACACACCAAACACATAGACAAACACACAAGTACATACACACAAACATATATATGTAGATATATACATATATAGGTAATATATGTATATATATACATATATAGGTAATATATGTATACATATGCATATATAGGTATACACGCGCACACACACACACATATATATACATATATGTGTATGTATGTATATATATACATATATATGTATATATATGCATATATAGGTACAAACATATATATATATATATATACATATATGTGTATATATATATATGCATATATAGGTATACACACACATATGCATGTATATATACATACATACATACATATACGTACATATATATACATATACATACACTCACACACATACATATACATTATATATATATATATATATATATATATATATATATATATATATATATATATATATATATATATGCATATACATATATGGGTGAAAGAATGCGAGGAGCAAGCTGTTGCCCATGCAGCAGGCTCCCTCTCTCCGCGCAGCTGATGGATCCAAAGGATAAGGATAAGGATAAGTCCGATATGCGAAGCTGAGCCTCGCCCGGGCTATGGGGGAGCCCGGCCTGTGCCGACTAATGTCGACTCGCTAACAGTGTGTCAGCAGGTGCTGACTCGGATGAGCTTAGTCCTTACCCACCGTGGTGCCCAGCCACAGCAGTAACCTCCAGGCGACAATTGCAACTTCTCGCGCCTGGGCGGGGCGCAAACCGCCGACCCCTCGGATGAGAGGCCGACACGTTACCACTGTACTAGCCTGGAGGCTGATCCAAAGGAACGGCATAGACCGCTATAGTCTGGCACCAGCGACGTCGTAGGAGTTGCCAGAACGAGGTCACACGCGACAGTGAACTACCTTAGGGATTCCACAGGGTTGACTCCCGAAGCCTTTTCATCTCATAGATGCCACAAGACTGTGGATTGTTTTGCATAGGGTGACCTCCCATAGCCTTTGACCATACACGGACTGAATTTTAAGGCAACAGTTATTTTGTACAGGGTGAATTCGCATAGCCTTTGGCCATGCACGGAGCGAACTAGAAGTCAGCAGCGCGCGCGCGCGCGCGCGTGTGTGTGTGTGTATGTGTGTGTGAGAGAGAGAGAGAGAATAGATATGTGTGTATGAATATATATATATATATATATA